GCGTTGTAGGCGCCCCATGGGCCGCGAAGCAAATCTGGGATTGTCCGTCTTCGATCCCCTGGAACATGACCTTCCGCATTTCCCGCGCGCCCCCTGCTGCCTGGCAGACCTGGGCCCCGATGCATATTCAATTTGTCTATTTTGCAGTTGGCGGTGCCCAGTGCAATGGCGACTCGGCGTGCGACGGGCATTCCCGCGATTATGTCCGGATGTTCCGAGTGCCGATCGCGCCTCAACCATGCGCCAGAAGAACGCGCCCAATGCGCTGACGAGGAAGAGCGCGCGCGGGACATGTGCCCGCGACGGCTTCGAGGTACTCTGCCAGAGCAGTGCCGTTGGTATGTGCCAAGACTCCGGTGCATCTTTCGATGCGTGCATCTTCCGATGCGTGCACCTTTCGATGGGTGGGCGTGGTTGCTGCCATCAGCTGCGTCGCATGAGTGGGCGCTTGCGGCGGCGGTGGCGGCAGCGTGCGGCGCCTCCGCGCCCGGGGGGCTGAGCGGCAAGCTCGCGTGCTCCTCCAACGCTGGGCGTGGGATGTTTCAGGGGGGTCGCATTAACGGCGACCCAGCGCCGCCCGTGCCCCCCCCCGCGCGCGGACTGGCCGAGCGGCGAGGTCAGCGGGGAGAGGGTGGGCGCGCCCGAGCGGCGTCGGCCCTGGGCAACTTCAACCGATGGCCGCATAAGCGCATCGACGACCTCCTCGCCAGGTTCGACATCCTCCGCAACAGGGCGCAGGAGGCTTGTCAACTCATGATCGGCTACGAAGGTGCCTCTTGCTGTGCGCGGTGGTCGCGTCGAACAGTCAACTCCCCATGATTTTGCAGCGCTGCGACGTGGCCTGCCCCCCGAGCGCGTGGCGGGCTGGCTGCGACGGCTTCGGCGCGTGATCGAGGGCTCGCCGGGCCATCTCGCCGCGGCCGTTCCCTCGACCCAGCGCCGCGCGTTCCTCGCGGGTGCGCCCGCGCGAGATCGAGCTCGCAGTGCCAATGGCACCGCGGCCAGATAGGGCCAGGGTGGCATGGGCACCGCTGCCCTGGGGGCGGCGCCGAGCTTGCCTGCCGCTGCAACCGCTGCCGACCCCAGCGCGGCGTCACCACCGCAGGTGGCATGCCCGGCAGCACGTGTCGAATCTGGCGCCGACTCCGACGCCGTCCGCTCGTTCGGCGAAGAGATTGCTGCCGACGACCCCGGGCTACGCGAAGTTTCTATGGAACGACGCGATGTGCGCCCCTTTTTGGGCCTCCGAAAACGCCGAGTCACGGTGGTGCAGCTGCAGTTGCCGCAAGCCCGCGCGCCGCGTCTGGGGGGCCATCGAACGCGGGGGCATAGGCTTCGGCAAAGGCTACCGCGCCGTCCAGGCCTGCATGTCCGAGAACGACCCCCAGGAGGCTTTCGCTGGCTTCGGGGGAGGCAAGGGTGAAGGGAGAGGGAAGTGCAGCCAGTGGCGCGCGTTCAGTCCGCGAAGGCGCGCCGTTGGGCCCTGGCGGGGTGCGTCTCGAGCGCCGCGAGTCCTGCTCCGAGTGGCGCCTCGTGCGCGAGCGCCCCTGGCGCCGCCGGCAAGGGCTCGCTCTCTGCCTCTGCGCCCTAGCTGCGGCGGCGCCGCCATTGCGCCGACGTGTTTGCTACCTGACCTGCGCGGCCAGGTCATCAGGGGGCGCCTGGGCCAGCGGCTCAGCAGCCCGTGCCGGGCGCGTGAGGTTTGGATGGTCGGGGGCACTTCGGGGGCCCCCGGTCTCGGCGGAGGCGGTCCAACGCTGAGTGCCGACCCCTGGGGCGGCGGACGGCCGACTCCAGAAGCGGCAACATCGCGGCCAGCCACGGCAGCGGTGCCGAGCGCGTCTTCCGACGGTTCGCGGCGAGCATTCGGCCGCAGTTCTGGGTCGAGATGGGCGTGGGCCTCATCCCTTTCGGCTTCCCCTGGCCCGCGCGAGGCCGAGCTGCGACGACTGCGTCGAGGCGTGGCTAAGCTCATGGGCCGCGCGCAGCATGGCTGCTCGAACTGGGGGTTCAAGTGCGTTGCCGGCCCGTGCGGCTGGAGCGGGGGGCGCGGCGCCGGCCGCGACCGCCGCGCCGACGGCCCCGGCGGCGTCGTCAGCGCCGTCGCTGCTGACGCCGCCGCGGTGGAGCGGTGTGGATGGCGCATTCCTCATGGGGCAAGTTCAAGGTCGCGACAGGGTAGGCGAGATCAATGCGCGAGTTTTCGCGCTTCCGACCCCACCTGCCGACGCGCGGTTGCCGAGCTGGGCGTGCGTGCCAGCAGTCTCAGCCCTCGACATCAGCGCGCCGCGTGGATCAAGCTTCACGTGACCACCGCAGTCCGCGCCGGCAGCAGCGTTGCCGCCAGTGCCAGAGTCTCCCAATGATCTGGCCCTATCCAATCAGAACGCCCCCCACCGACGTGAGCCAGCCATCAGGGAGAGCGTCCATGTGGTTCGCCTGCCGCGAGACCTGGATGTCCATCGGCGGCCGATCCGAACGCAGCGTGGACAGCGCTCTCGACTGCTCGCAATGCCGCCGCTTGGACGAGCTCCACAGGGTACAGCTAACATTAGAACTCCCGCGAAAACAGGAAGTGCCGCGACGCCAGGCCGCCCGGAGTTCGACAAACACTTTCGAATTCTCCTTCTGTGCCAGGCGCCGCGCCTGCCGCGCCTCGCTCCGTTGCCATGCTTTCCGGCGACGATGGGGGTGTCTATCTGTCTCGAGGTCTTCGCTGCCCAGCGCGCCGAGGGCCGGGCGACGTCATCGCCGACGTCTGGTTCATTGGTGCAACTCGTGCGCCTGCAGGCCCGGCACCTATGGCGTCGGCCCGCGCGGCATATCTTCATCCGACGCGACGCATCCCGCCGCCGTCGAGCACGCTGCGGCCGGCCTGGGCCGTGTGCCGCGCGAGTGGCCCCTGCGCCTGGAGGAGCAGTGCCCGCGTCGAATTATGCACGCGCAGCGCCGCTGCTTCCTGCGCGGTGCCGCCGTAGACGACTGCGCCGCGCTTGGGGGGGGGATAAAGGAGGGGAATCTGTTGAGTTTCGCTTGGGCCTAGGGGTGCGCGCAGCATTCCAAAGCTGTGGCGGGGAACTGTCTATCGACCATGTCGCTGGCGCTTCCGCGACAGCCGCGCTTGGAGTGCATGCCGCCGTCGGGGCCGCGGCCGTCGAGCGTGGCGCCGGCGTCCTTGCCGAACGGGGCAAAAGTGTCTAGGCTGCCTCAAGAAGTCGTTGCGACCATCTTCGAGGAGCTCGCCACCTGGGCCAAGCGCAAGTGCTTCGGGAGGCGGCCGCTCAGAAACGTCGTGGGTTTCAGGCGCGTCTTCATGTGGGGGCGCCGGTTCCTCGGGGCAAGACCAGCGGGTTCATTTGGTGCCTTATGGCGCTGAGAGGCTTCTGCGACGTGGGCCCTGGGGCCCTCGCGGCGTCCGCCGGGGCGGCGAAGCGGGCGTCGCGGCGCGCGCTGTCCCCCGAGGCGGCGCGTCGCCCGGGCAGGGTGTGAGTCGCCGCGGGCGTCGAGAAGGCGTTTTTGCAGGGCGTGGCCTATGCCGAGATGCAGGAGCAGGGCGACTCGCCGCGCGAGGTGAATTTCGCACTGCCGCCCGGCAGTGCAGCTATGCCAGGTTGTGTTTCCTTCGACGAGCGGGCCGAGTGCTCGCATTGCATCGAGCCAGGTGCAGCAGAGTCTTTTCATGGGGCTCGCCCAGGTCATGCGCTCACCAGAGAGAAGGGCCAGGCCGACAATGTGGGGCGCGGAGCTAGAGGTCAAGCAAGAGCCGTCTGGCACCCATGGTGCCGGCGGGTCGGAGCTAGCGCTCGCGGTCTCTAAGCGCGTTGATGATCAGAAGATCGCTGGGCGCAAGAAGCGCGTCGATGGCTGATCGGCCGCGCCGGCAATGCGAAGGGGGGCTGCGGTCGACGTCGCCAACTGCTGAGTCCACCTGCGCCGCAGTGCCGATGGCGCAGTGACGCGCGACCAGGGCGAGTGCAGCGACGCCCTGATTCCCGTCGGGCGCGTCAACTAGGTCAAGGCGAAGGCTGACGAGTCGGCTGGTGGTCATTTTCCAGACCTCTTTGACTCCCTCCTCGGAGCAGCAGCATGCGCTCTGCTCGCGCAGCACCGCGTCGCCGATTACGTGCTATGGTGCGACGCGCGAGACATGGGGGCCGACCCCTTGACGAAGGGGGGCGTCGGCTGGGAATTTGTTTTCAACGTCGTGGGCGGGGGCGACCGCGCCGCGGCCAGGCTGAGCGAGGAGCGATGCAAGAAGACGGTGCCGAGCTCCCTTTGCAGCAGTCCCACCCGCGAGGCCAAGGGCGACCATGATGATTATCATTGGTTCGACCAAGGCTGCGGGCTACGACAAAGCGATGGCGAAGGGCGAAGTATGCGCTCGCATCTCGCGAACGATATTCGCGAGCGCGACGTAGTGAAGCATGCGTGTGAAAGGGTTGCTTCCGCGCGCTATGTTCTTGGAGCAGCAGGCGATTGAAAGTAGAACATTCAATTGAATGAGGCCGTGCTCCACTAATTGTCTGCCTCTTTAATTTAATGTGGGACGTGGTCAGTGCAACGTCCTCTCGTTAGCTTGTATTTTGCTTTGTTGGTTCATGCGCAGTTTGTCGTACGTGGACCGACGAGGCACAACATTCTCGTTTGAGCACCAGACTCGAACGGTACATACCTTCTCTCTGCCTGTTTTCCCGCCGCCATGTGGGGTTCACAGAAGCTCCTTCAGTGCCCGTGTTATACGCGTTCTGCCGATGGACACCTCAGTTGTGCGTTTTGAAAGTGCAACACTCCATGCTGAACCTTTACGTCTAGTCTCCTCTTCCTCCGCCTCCTCCCCCCTCCGCGCCCTCTCCTCCTCCTCCTCCTGCTGCTCCTCCTCCTCCTCCTCCCGCTCCTCTTCCTCCTCCGCCTGCCTCCTCCTCCTCCTCCTCCTCCTCCTCCTCCTTCTCCGCCGCCGCCGCCGCCCGCTTGTCCCGTTCCCGCGGCCTGCCCGGCAAGAGGCCTCGCCGCCCTTCGCGGAGGCCCCCGCGTGGGCCGCCGCTCCGCCTGCGGCGCTCGACGCCGCCAACATCTGCTCTGGGGCGGGCGAGGAGTGCGGTTCCAGCAGGCGCTGGTCGCGTTGGTCAGTGGTCGTCGCTGTCGTCGCGATGGCGGTGGTGGCCGCCGTGGTCGTGGCCGTCTTGGTGATCGTCTTGGTGGCCGTTTTGGTGGCCGTCTTGGTGGTCTTGGTCGTCGTGGTCATGGTCGTGGTCGTCGGGGTCGTCGGGGTCGTCGTGGTCGTCGTGATCGTCGTGGTCGTCGTCGTCGTCGTCGTCGTCGTCGTCGTCGTCGTGGCCGTGACCGTGGTCGTGGTGGTCATCGTCGTCGCCGTTGTCGTCGTGGTCGTCGTCGTCCTATGCCTCCTCGCTCACTGCTCCTCATCCAAGAGGACGCAGTGATGTGTTGAAACGTAACGAGGAGCGGAAAACGAGAAACGGGGAGGAGGAACAACTAGGAACGAGGAGCGAAGAGCGAGGAACGAGGAACGTGGACGAAGAGGGGCAAGGGGGGGAAAGGGAGGACGCAGATGAGGAAGAGGAGGTGGTGGAGGAGGAGGAGGAGGAGGAGGAGGAGGCGGAGGAGGAGGAGGAGGAGGAGGAGGAGGAGGAGGAGGAGGAGGAGGAGGAGGAGGATGAGGAGGAGGAGGAGGAGGAGGAGGAGAGGACGAGGACGAGGAGGACGAGGACGAGGAGGAGGAGGAACATGAAGAGCATGAGGAACATGAGGAACAGGAGGAGGAGGAGGAACAGGAGAAACAGGAGGAACAGGAGGAGGAGGAGGAGGAGGAAGAGGAGGAGGAGTTGGAGGAGGAAGAGGCGGACTATGATGATGCTGATGATGATGCTGATGATGTTGATGATGAGGATGATCATGGGGATGAGGATGCTGCTGATGATGATGCTGATGATGCTGATGATGATGATGATGCTGATGATGATGCTGCTGGTGATGATGTTGCTGATGATGATGATGCTGCTGATGATGATGATACTGATGCTGATGCTGATGATGATGATGATGATGATGATGATGCTGATAATGCTGATGCTGATCATGGTGATGATGATTCTGATGATGATGATGATGACGATGATGATGATGAACATGATGATGCTCATGCTGATGCTGATGATGATGCTGATGATGATGATGATGCTGATGATGATGCTGCTGCTGATGATGATGATGTTGCTGATGGTGATGATGCTGATGATGATGATGATGCTGATGATGCTGATGATGATGAGGATGATGATGATGGTGATGATGATGCTGCTGATGATGATGATGCTGCTGCTGCTGATGCTGATGATGATGATGATGATGATGACGATGCTGATGATGATGATGATGCTGGTGCTGATGATGCTGATGCTGATGATGATGCTGAAGCTGATGATGATGATGATGCGGATGATGCTCATGATGCTGATGATGATGATGCTTCTGATGATGACGATGATGATGATGATGATGATGATGTTGATGATGATGATGCTGTTGCTGCTGCTGATGATGATGTCGATGATGATGATGCTGATGATGAGGAATGTGCTGCTGATGATGCGGATGATGTTGATGATGCTGATGATGATGATGATGATGATGATGATGATGATGATGACGATGGTGCTGATGATGTGGATGATGATGGTGATGATGATGATGATGTTGCTGACGATGATGATGATGATGCTGATGATGCTGATGATGATGAT